GTGAATTTAATTTCATATTATAAAAATCTTTCAATCAGAAGTCATGATTCGGTGGTGGGACTTACGGTGCATAGATTTTTTTTTCTCCTGTATAAATCAAGGATTCTAAATTCAATATTTTTCGATATTGATTATTTTAAAAATCCGAATGTATGAAGTAAGGGAATACTTACGCTCAGAGTTTTAGGATTTAGAATTAATCCAACAAAAATGGCCGGGATCCAAACTAGTTTATTATTTATAATTAAGAAGAACATAGAAAAAAAGGGAAAAGGGCCCACATATCAGGCAACGTCTAGTATCTGGCCTTGTCTCATTTCTGAGTGACATGAATTGGCCACATTATCTCGCAGAATAGTGAAGATGAGTCATGATATATGCCTGTCTGTAGGAAGTACAAAAGGCAAAAACGTATGGGCAAGAACAAGGTTCATGTGCATTCTAAATTCTAAACTGCACAACCCAAGTGTGAGAGACATGGAGGTGTTATGGGAGTCCATCTTTCCAACAAAAGGACAAAGAGATGGAGAGGGTAAAAAACATGGTAAAGAATCTGATCCACATAGAGACTAGTCTACTGGAATACTATTACTCTTTTTTTTAAAGTGGAATGATAACGAAATTTAGAAATGAAATCACAAACATTGGAGTGTCTTTTTGTGGGGCTTACAGTGAGGGTACCATCTTTGTTTCTTTGCTTTCTCTGTCTTTTTGTATGCCTTTCATACTCACACATCTTCTCCCTCTCTCTCTCTCTCTCTCTCTTATTCATTGATATGAATTATGTAGCTGTTGCTGATTGAAAGGCTTGGAAAGAGCCCAAAATTCAACACTGGAGTAGTTACTGACTGCATTATCTGCTTTTCTTTTCTTTCCTCTCTCTCTCTCTCTCACTTACCTGACTTTGTACCATCATTTCCATTTCTTCAACTTCTGCTTTCCCATAATTGTTTGCATCTCTCTCTTCGTTTATTCTCTCTTTTTTTAATCCATTTTCATCCACTCCATAAGTGGTAAAAACTATAAAAAAAACCCACTTTGTTCTTTTCTCTTTTCTTCACACTCACACGGATTCTCTCTCTTTCCCAAAGCAGTACTATGTCTCTGAAGGGATTTCAAAATACCGTGTAAGAAAAATTCAATCGACTCTCTCATCCCCTGTGTATTATCAGTTTCTTCTTTTGGTTTCTGATGTTTTATTGCTTTTGTTGTGCGTTCCTTGTGTTATAATCTAAATCTTTTCATTCTTTTAGGGTATAATATACCTATGCTAATTCCCCCTATCATCTAGATAGTGTTTATTCAGGTTCTTGAAATGTTTCTAATATGTATTGGGTTGTTGCTGATTTGTGGTTCTGTTGATAGCTCGAGGTTGAGTTCAATTATAGCTGTTGATAATGTGGACGTTTTGCCTTTTCCTCTCTTGTTTATGGTTGTTTTCGTACACAGAATTGGAGTGGAGAATGCAATTTGCCTAAATGGGGCTTTTGTTTAGGTTTTCGAGGTTGAGTTCAATTTGCTGTTGATAGCTCGAGGTTGAGTATAGAGCTTTTGTTTAGATTGAAATGCATCAAACCATATAAGTTGGTTGTAGGCGCGTTCTTAATTTCTTAAAATTTTTACCTAAATGTAGGATTACTTGTTTTCTAACTTAAATCGTGTGTCCTTAAAGGTAACCCAGTCATTACGATATGTTTCGATATGGGATGGTGTTGCGGTTCTATTAGTTTAGGTATGGTAACGATTGATATAATCAGTTTTATCTAGTTGAGATCATCATTAACAAGTTGTGGATCGCATTCAGTGCCATTTGACAGATGTGAATTGAAGTAACTTGTAGCTACATATGACTGTCAAAAATGATCTGGTCTGGTTCTGGCAAAACATTAATTGAATGATGCCTATGTTGTTTCGAAGAATTATGCATGATAGACAATGCAAATTCATGAATTATATGGGAGGTTTGGAGATCTGCTGCTTTACATGTAAGATCAAGTTTGAATAGTTGTAAGATGTCTGCAGTTCAGAGGTGCGTGGTTTTTACTTTCAATCATTTCAAAGGTGTAATGCTAAATGGAAAAGTAAATTGAGGAAATGGTTTTTAACTTGAACTGCTCCAGTTTGAGTGGAAAAAAAAAACACTTAAAAGCTCCAACACACTGCTAATTCATTGCAAAAATATTACGTAGTAGTCTGGTATAGACGCATATATACATGCATGTGAACTTGTATGCAGAGGACAGTAGGGATTAGGAATAACAATTCTAGTATTTATGGGAAATAGGAAGCATCTATGGTTGGTCAAGTGATGTGGTTAATCATTCATTGGAACCGTGTGAGGAAAACAGATGCTCAAAATTACTGATGTGATGTGTGATGATTTATGATGTTCACTGAATGAATGAGAAATAGTGATCCCTTTACAACTGGCATATTCTGTGCTTCTGGAGACTATCTCTACGCTTCGTCTTTATAGGTACTAGTGTCGGTTCCTGTACTTGCAATCGCTTTATTTGCTTTAGTTTAATTATCTGAAATCAGTAGCTATTCCTCTGGTTGATATACTTCGTACTTGTGATAGAAGAGAAGTGAAGTGAGAAAAAATAAATAAAAATTTCCTCTCATTCCATGTATAAATTAATGAGGAAAAATATGGAGAGAATAGATAACTTTCGGTTGTACTTTCATTTTGGGCATAGATCTGATCTAGAAATGAGAACTATGCTACCTGGGGACTAGGCAGCTGTGAAAATTTTCTTACTTGGGTTTTTGAACGATATTATGAGGTCTGTTCAACTAATTGAGTCGGATTCATGATGTGATATGGGATTAGACTGATTGATTAGTTCGAGCCCAGGAGCATAGACAAGGTTTTTGGATGGTTGTCATAAGACAAGATGGGATTTGAACAATTTGTTGGTTAGCACAAGTTCCTAAAGGATGGAATTACATCTTGATTTGACAAATTGGACAGTTCATCTAATTTATTTTTCTGGCACAAGCACCTTTTGTCTAGGCTCAGAGTGCTGCCAAACTTCAAAAGGATAAGGTAGTATGATGAGTTTCATTATAGTTCGAAGGAATCAGATACCATGATAATCATTATTCTTAAGCTAGGAGGATGTATTATATATCCAAATGTTATGACAATTCTCTAATGGTGAAAACAATTAGCTAATGTACTTACTAGAAACGAGGTTAGATATGTTAGTGGGTGAGGGCATTCAAGTAGAAGTGATGCAGTGGATAGCATGATAAAAGAGTTTGTTAATTCTCAAAACTCTCAAAATACAAAATTTTTTATAATACTTACAGAGTAAATTACACACATCACAAAGAGAGATAGATAGACACAAATAGAAGAGAGAAATAGAAAAGAGAAAATTGAAAAAAAAATTAAGCTAAGGTATAAATTTTTTTATTACTTTTAGTGAATGCGGATATAATTCTTTTTTTTTTTATGTGTCTTCTTGTCTCTTCAAAATTGTATTCATAGAGTAACTACTGTGTATATACGGATACATAAAGTAACTATTGTGTATGTACGAGTAGTTAGTGGGTGAGGGCATTCAAGTAGAAGTGATGCAGTGGATAGCATGATAAAAGAGTTTGTTAATTCTCAAAACTCTCAAAATACAAAAATTTTTATAATACTTACAGAGTAAATTACACACATCACAAAGAGAGATAGATAGACACAAATAAAAGAGAGAAATAGAAAAGAGAAAATTGAAAAAAAAATTAAGCTAAGGTAGAAATTTTTTTATTACTTTTAATGAATGCGGATATAATTCTTTTTTTTTTATGTGTCTTCTTGTCTCTTCAAAACTGTATTCATAGAGTAACTACTCGTGTATATACGGATACATAAAGTAACTATTGTGTATGTACAGTAGTTATATCTTGAGTATTATAAAATATCTCCTCAAAATACCTTAATTTTTATCATTCAACGTCTTTGTCAAACAGCTAGTACAACTTTTATTTTTTTAAAATAGAAAATTGAGAAAACCCTAAAAATACTGAATAGGAAAAGGAAAAATATAATCATAGAGTACTAATTTTTTAATAATGCTTGCCTAATTAAATAAAACGCAACTAATTCTAGAAAATTTTAACAATTAAAGTAAAAACTATAATGAAAATAATTGAACCAAAAATAAAATATTTTGTGTCCTACGTCAAGAAGAAAACATGGAATGAAGTCATTGATATGTTAGTGAGCTTCAGATATGAAAAAGGAAGAAGTTACGAGGACATGACATGCATAATGGCTAAATATCAGCCTTGGACATGGCAGAAGGTAGAAGTAATTTCTTAGATGGTTTGGCATGAGTGAGATGAAATGTAATTAAACACTTCAAACTATATTGTTTACTTCCTGATTGAGATTGCATCAGCTCTCCAAAATCCCTTTAGATTGTCTATCATCCCCTTCCAGTTGGAGAAAATGTGGCCTAAATTTTTTAAGTATGAGATATTGGTTTGAATGGTTCCAAAGTTAAGTCTGTATCCTGGAATGAGAAATTTGGAGAAGTTAAGACAATCCTTTCCTCTCTGAAGAAAAAAAGAAAATGAAAAGGAAAAAGTTAGCCTTTGCTATGGTATTATTACATTCATTAGGAACAATGTTTGGCGATCACCTCAACTCTTTGGTTAGTTCAATTGTTTAGTGATCACCTGTGGATTATGAACAGTGTCATGATTGTGGTTCTTTTCTCATTTTTTGGACGGGATTGGAGTTGCTCTGTTGTGGTGTGCTTAGACTAATTTGTTGTGCTTTCAAACAAGCAAATACGAACTATTCTTTAATTTCTTTTGCATGTATGGTGTCCGGATAGAACGGACCATAGATATTTGTTCCAATGTTTTCTCATTTACATGCTCACTTCAAGTCGATTAATTGAATCCTTGTAACTGCAGGTGAAGCGCTGTCTTGTTATCAGCATTTTTCGTTGGTAGTACATTCCGGCCTAAGTACTTTACTACGTCACCCAGTCATGATACCTCCAAATTCCAAATTGGCATCAGAAAATGATTTAGAAGTTAGCAGCCAAGTAGCATCCAACATATCTTTGCATGAACCATCCCCTGATCCTTCCAAGGACAGTACTGCCACCCCTTCTTCCTCTCTCACGAATCTCATTAAGCTTCAAGAGAATCCAGTGCCTGTTTCCCTTGACTTATCACTCCACTTCAACTCCAGTGAAATTGAGTTGAAAGGAACAGGTGAGACTAGCAGTGAAGTAGTTGCCCATACTCCAACAGCAAACATCCCAAGAGTTTTCTCTTGCAATTACTGCCGGCGAAAGTTCTACAGCTCACAGGCACTTGGTGGCCACCAAAACGCACATAAGAGAGAGCGAACAATGGCAAAGCGAGCGATGCGAATGGGAATATTTTCAGATAGATATACCAGCTTGGCTTCTCTTCCACTTCATGGTTCTGCATTTCGGTCTCTTGGGATCAAAGCTCATGCTGCAATGCACCAAAGTATGATACAACCACAAGTGCCTTCTAATACAAGAGGTGGAGCTAGATTTGAGCAAGGCTATTATGGAATGCCGATGTTCATGGAAGATGATTGTGTGGGTTCATATTGGCCGGGGAGTTTTAGGCAGGTTGGTGAGGCAGTTGGTGGTAACTCAGGTTCAGAGTTCTCTCAAAGACCAAGTATGAATTTTGAAGCAAGGGCACCACCACCTAGGACAGATTCATCAGCACCTGATCTTACTTTGAAGCTCTGAATTCCATTTACTTCTTTGAATCTTAATTTCTCTTAGATATGCTACTCATAATAGTCTTCACTTTGTACATTGAGATATGCATCGGCAATGTCTGAGCTTTCTAATTTTGATTAGAACTTCGCTCTCTATCTCGTTCTTCTTGTCAATTTTTTCTTCTTGTTGTATTTCTATAGCACTAACTATGTTGTTGTGCTGCTTATATACAAGAATTTTGGATGTTGAAATTAATGGAAAGATCTTCAATGTATTTACACAAATGGGTTTTTTTTTTTAACGGAATTAATTTGTCATCCTTTCTGATCAATTTTTTTTCGCTGGACGAAGTTACATGGTGAAGTTGAATTTCCTTTTGGTTTCTTGAAACAGTTTAGCAAATTATGCTGGTTTAGTATTCAAATCATAGATTAAAATAATGTCCGGTACATAGCATAACATCATTTATTTAACAAAATCAAGGTATTATGTTATCGTTATTCAGTATTCTGCGTGCTATCTTATCATTTTATGACTATATCGATAAATAACTATATTATTGTTATACATCGTCATTATTTGTCGTTAGATTAAAAAAAATCAGCCTTTACATAATTCAATGATGTAAATATAAAATAAAAGAATCGAAAAGAAGAAGAGACTAGGACAAAAATCGTTTTGAGGAAAGAAAAAGAGAGAGGGAGGCATTTTTTTGCGAAGAAAGAGAAACCATGAAAGAATCATTTTTAGAAAAGAAGAAGAGACATGGAGAGAGGCATTTTTAGGGAAGAAGAAGATTAATATTTTTAGTTATGTTATATAATTGAGTCCATAATAAATAAAACAATTGATACTATTCTTGTTAGATCTATTTTTTTTATTTAATTGATAATTGGCCTAGTATTAGAATTATATTTTTTATTTTTTTATTTTGCACAATTTAATAAAATTCATAATATTTTTATTTTTTTTATTGTACAAAAAAATGTTATAAGTTAGTTTTTCCTCCACTCTAACAACCAATAACTAAATTATAATTTTATTAAAACAATTTTTGAATAATAATTTAAAATTTAGGTTAAGATAAAATTTAATTTGTAATAGTGCAATTATATATATAATGCTGACATTATGTTTATTTAATAAAAAATTTCAAATTGACATGTATTATGGAAATTTTTTACGGTCCCTAAATGATTTACAATAACGATATTCTAATGGTTAAATTCTGCATCAATTATGGCAATCCCCTGCTGTTATTGCAACTAGAACAAAACTATCATTCAAAGGGAAGCTAAATCATGGGTGCAGGTCATGCATTCGCATTATCTTAAGGGTCAAATCACTCTTTGATTGCCATTTAGGGAGTGAAACCTTTCAGTTTTCTTCGTGAGAGTTATACCTGACTGATTTCTTTAATGGTACCTGGGATTCATGGTTAGCTGATAAAGGTTTTTCACCCCTTTTATTATTGTACCTGCGGAACAAAGAGGCGATCCGAGGTGAATTCGTTTCTGGTTTGTCTCATGGTCATGGTATCCGTTGCCTGAGCTTATACGGAGTGGCAACTGGTCTTTGAGGACTTAGTAGGGGATTTAACTCCTAAGCAGCTAGGTGGATTGCTTGGACAAAGCCTATTTCTGGTTTTTCTAAAGCATGCTGATCAACACGGATGGCAGCTCTCAAGGAAACATCGGCGGAGCAGGGATGGGTGATTATTTGCTTTATGAGGAGAATGGTTGTCTGGCTTCTATGGCTATTCCACCTAACAAGCTTGCTGAATTGTTTGCTCTCCGATCTGTTTGGTATTGAGAATGCATGGAAGTCGGTCTCTGGGGTCATGTTTTAAGGAATCTAGGGGAATCATGTGGATTTTCTTGCGAAGCTTGGAACGGCAAGTCCTGACAATTCTCGTATTTAAGTGACTCCCTTTTCTACGTTAATGCCTCAGCTGCAAGGGATGGTGCTTTTGTCCGGTTTATTAGGCTATACGTGTTTTTTTTTAATTCGCACATTCATGCCTTTTTGTAAAACTAATCAAGTAGGATTTCAATATGTGATCTCTTGTTGTAAAAAACGATTATCATTACCCTATAAGTTTTTTTGATAAACTATAGATGTTATGGTTATTTGTTCCTTGGCACCAAATAAAATCTCAAAACTTGGGGACTTGTATAGAAAAGGGGTAATTCAGAAAGTTAATTTTCTGGTGATTAAGATTTATATTAGCTAATAGAGAAGCATGTCTGAAAAAGTAAAAATTCCTTTCTTTTTTTTTAGTAGCTCTTATGTCTACTGGATTCGAGATACTCATCTTGTAAACTAAGAGCCTATTTGGCAATTACCTGGCTTTTTATTTTTTTCTTTTAGAAAACCTAATGGAGAAGATATGGGGTAAAATTTCGAAAATTGTTTCAAAAAGTCATTTGGAAGTAAAAAAATGAGAAGCTATAAAATGAAATTCGAACGGATACTTGATTATATATATATATATAAGCAAGCTTATGTTCTATAGCTTGTGCTGTACATCAAATAATAATTCGTAACCTATAGTAAAATATATTCCAGAAAAAGTTCCATACAAGTTTCCCCAGTTGGCAAATTTTCTCTGTCCTTTCGAAACTGTTTTCTATTAATATTTTTATTTCTACTATGTTTTTCTGAACCGAAGAGAAATTAAAAATGTCTAGACTTTGTCTGAATGCCAACCGTTTCAAAAAGTCCATACAAGTTTCATTTTATTGACGAAGACTTGGACAATTTATTTTCCTGCTTCATTCCGTTTCTCATGATTGGACATTTCATGAGAGATGTATCTATTTTTAACCAACTTCATAAATTCTTCTTTGGTAGCGTATCTTACGGGATGCAGGACATGATTCCTCAACCCTGTTTGCATTCTAAGACTATCCGAACTCATTGACCAACAGTTGTAATCTTTCACTTTTGGTGTTTCTACCAAGAAAATCTCTGTTTTTTTTACTTTTTTCTCTCATACAGAAAAGACACGCTTGTTGCCTTCTGAATTTTTTTTTTTTTAGGAATTTGTTGTCATTTGATTTTAAAAAACAAGACACGCTTATGATTGTTGTTGGCATTTGATTTCAAAATCTCTGTGTAAATCACTCCAGCCATCAATCTCCATTTACTCTAAACGAGCTTCTGCTCTAATATGGTTTATCATTCATTTAATTTGACACCTATATTCTATTCCTATATATATTATGCTGCCAGTTTAACAAAATTGTGGTTTAGTTTTCTAAGGAGAAAAGAAAAAAAAATCCATTTCAGAACTTATGTAAAGGAATGTCCAGACCTAGATAGAACAACACTAGGGAACCAAGAGAAGAAAAAGGTAATCCTTGGATTATAAAGGTTACAGCATTTGTAATATTATTTCCTACCAGAGCTAGCAAATCTTTCACCCACCAACGTGATCAGAAGAGAAACTATCATAGCAGACTGCAAATAAACAATAGTTGCAGACCACAGTCTGTCTTCCCATTAATGTTCTCTTATTTCTAGACCCCTGGACTAAACATAAAAATCACTTTTATTGAAACGCATGAAATTAGATAACGCGTGAAATTGAATGCGGAGAGCACTTGACGACGCCGACCCCACAAACCACCACCACCACCACCCCCCTCTCCCTAAAGAAAAAAAAAAGGGGCTTTAGGGAACAAAGGTCTGGAAGAACAGCTAGATGACGCGGAAACCCCCCGCCTATTCCAGTCCCACCCCTGTCGAGCAATGGATAAACTTTAGTTTTGTCCCTATAATTTAGAAAAGCCTAATTTTGCCCTTTTAATTTCCAAAGATTCCAATGTTACCCTTCTGCTAAATGACCTACTTTTTTTTTTTTTGGTGTTTTTTAAATGGGAATTTGAAAGGAAAGGATTAGAGGAAAAAATAAGAAAAAATAAATTAAACATGAGAAAAAGTGAGCCTTTTGATAGTATTTACTATTTAGTAGTAAAGGGTGAAATTGAAATTTACTCAAGACTTTAGGTGGCAGATTAAGAAATTATAAATTATGGGAATAGATTTGGGACATTGATATAACTGTGAAGACCAACGCAACCGGATGCGATATGTGAAATAATTGATTTTGGACTTCGTCATGGTCTTTGAATTTTTCTTTTCTTTTTTTTGGATGAAGACGCGGACTTAGCTTTCTATATATATTTCCTCCCTGAAATGGTAATGAAGAGCCCAAAGACAACAAGATAAAAATTGTTTTAGGCTTTTAGCCTTATTCCCATTGGAGAAACAAGAAAAAAAGAGAGAGATATTTTTTTGCCTTTGCTAATAGATCCTGCCCGTTTCAATTAGAAGTCGATTATAGAAAATTAGCTATGAGTCTGTTTTATTTTTTAATTATATTGATGACTTTGTACACGGTAGAAAAAATCGTGCTTTTTACGTTTCTTACACACGATTTCGAAAGACATGTTAGAGTCAGAATTGTAATATTTTAGTAAATAGAGTTAATCAAAAGTAGATATACAACTTTTATAAAAAAAAACAAAAACAAAAACATTGTTTCTTCTTACTCATTAACCAATTCACCGAGGCTGACGGCCCGCCTATAACGAACTTTCAATAAATCATTGACTTCAAAACAATTTCTTTTAACAAAAACTTAGTGCAGCGGTACTTCGTTTGTCCTCAAGCAAGGTGAAACGAAAGAGATCCCTAGTGCTTGTTTGGGAATGTTCCCAATTTCAGTTTTCTAGCCATTTCAATTGGGAGCGAGTTAATGGTACTTTGGTTCAATTCTCAGTTTATTCGGTTTGGTTATTTTGAAAATCAAGTCGAATCTAAATTATGGAAACCATAAGATTTTGATTTGGTTGTTCGGTTTTCAGATAAAATTTTCTATTTTTTAAATTTTTCGTAAAAATAAAAATAAAAAAGGGAAAAAACTTGAGTTTGTTCAGTTTTTAAACAAACTGAAATGAAAACAAAACTACCAAACAAACCAAAGGACGACTCGGTTTGATTATTTGGTCTTGCTTACCCCTAATCTCAATCCCTAATAAAATTGGAAATATATATCAAGAGAGAAACATAACATTATTAATGTTGTGTACATTAATGATCATTAAAGAAAGAGAAATCTTAAAGAGTTATTAACCACCTCTAATGTTGTACGAGCTTGTGGATTATAAGAAATCAATAATTGACAAATAATTATCTAACGACTACAAGTGGATCTGTCTATACGTGTGTGTATGTCTTTTTTTTTTTTTTCATTTTTGTATTCAAAGGGTTGGACCAGAGAAAGATTCCTTCAAAGAAAATGATGCTCTGTGTTGGGAGAATTTAACTTGCACGGCGATGATACGTGCCTTTGGGCTTTGGCCTAAAATAAGAAATTCTATGTACCTTATATGGGATGTTACCGTTAATTAGGCTGAACTAAACTAGACTCGCCATGATCAGTATGAAACAAGAGAAGTCCGCAACTTTCTTCTTTATGGGAAATAGTTTATCGCGAGAGAGAGAGAGAGAGAGTACTACAATTTGTGTGTGTTTTCGGGTAGGAAGAAGCAGCGAAAACTGGAAACCCCATTTGAGTTTTCCTCAGTGACTCAAGGAAGTCAATAGTCAGTACTGTATAGACGTTTTGTGTAAAAAGCTTTGAAAATTTCAACCGTTAAGAAATACCAAAAAACAAAACAAAGACAAATCAGAAAGCTTTGTTGTGCGATTTGTAATGTTAACTTTGCAGTAGTACTGAAAAAAATCAAACCCACCCAACTTGAACTGAAGCAATAGCCCACCCACCCCCTAGATTCCCTCATTTTATCCATTTTGCCCCTCCAGTCCACCCTTAAAGCAAAAGTCTTCACAACTTTCTCTCTCTCTCTCTCTCTCTCTCCTCCCTTCTTCTCCTCTCTCCTTCTGTTAAAAGTCTGACCTTTGAAACCAAAACAATGGCCATGTTTGGAGAGAGAGATCGTCGTTTGTCTAATGGGGAGGCTGAGTCTGAGAGGTCTCTAAATCAAGAGAACGCAGTAGAGAAGATGAGTGGTTTGTCTCAGGAGGGGATTGATTTTCTCGGAGAATCAAAGATGGGTTTTGATGGGTTTGGCTTAAAACCCCAAGAACTCACTCTCAGCTACCTCTGTGAAAACAACAACAACAACAACAATCAGAAACTTGGTTTTTCTCTTAAGGGAAAAGAAATAATCTTTTCAGAGAATTCAAACCAAGATGAGAAATGGGTTGAGAGGGATTTCTTGAATCTGAGTGAAACCAAATCTAATTCTTCTTCCAAGAGACAAGTCTGCCGCGAGGAAGATGAAGAAGAAGTTGAAGAGAATTCCTCAAGAGACAAGAAACCAAAGCTCGAGAGTACTTTAAATCTTTCTTTAGCTTTGCCTGACGTGTCTCTCTCTTTAACTGCATTAAATGCATTGCAAAATGGTGATCCTTTGATTGAGCCAAATCGTCGTGAGTCTTTGGGTGCAGCTGCAGCAGCAGCAGCGACACTATCAAACAACAACAACAACACGCAAACAACATGTTCTAATGATTTCACTGCTGCTTCTCTTTCATATTCATATTCACACCCGTTTTCACACAATCCTAGTTGTTCTATGACTCGAAATTCAACTGAGAATTACGAGTATTCCGTAGGGAGAGATGATCAAATTTGGTGTGGAGGAGAAGGGACTAATGGATCGGTCCATAGCCGGTTTAGGCCTATTGGAGATGGTATTGTTGCTTTGAACAATAACAATCATGGTGGTGGTGGTGGTTCTATGATGCAAGGTAATCGTGCCACGAACAAGGATTCGTGCAACAATAGTCTCTATAAGACTACTAGCTCAGATAATGTTTCATTTTTTCCATCTGAATTGCCGGCCAGGCCTCGTGTAGATGCTTATTCTGGTGATTCTAGGAGAAGGGATTCTGAGAATTTGAGAGGCTTGGAGAGTGGAGATGGAGAAGGTGGAGCAAAAAAGCTTTCTAGACCAGGGAGAATTCTTCGTGAGATTGTTTCCGAGTCCATTACTGCTATGGCTCAGATCATTCAGGAGGTAGCGGAAGAAACATTAGATTCGACTAAGGAGTACTTGAAGAATCTTATTGCCATGCCTGAAAAGAGAGACGAGTTAGTTGGCCTTCAAAACCGGCTTGAAAGAAGGTCTGATCTTACCAACGAGGCTCTCTTGAAGTGCCAAAAAGACCAGTTAGAAATTTTGGTTGCGATAAAAATGGGGCATGGAAGTTTTGTGTCTGGGAAAGTTCGGCTTCCTACAAAGGAGTTGGTGGAAATTTTCTTGTTTATGAGATGTAGGAATGTGAATTGCAAGAGTATATTGCCTGTGGATGACTGTGACTGTAAGTTTTGCTCGGGGAATAAGGGATTTTGCAGCTCATGTATGTGTCCTGTCTGTACGAATTTTGACTGTGCTAGCAATACTTGCAGTTGGGTTGGCTGTGATGTTTGCTCCCATTGGTGCCATGCTGCCTGTGGCATACAAAAGAATCTCATTAGACCTGGTCCTAGCTTGAAGGGGCCATCCGGGACTAGTGAGATGCAATTTCACTGCATTGGGTGTAATCATGCTTCAGAGATGTTTGGTTTTGTCAAGGATGTGTTTGTGTGCTGTGCAAAGGATTGGGGTCTAGATACTCTGATAAAGGAGCTTGATTGTGTTAGGAAGATTTTCAAGGGAAGTGAGGATTTCAAAGGCAAGGAGTTGCATACTAAGGCTGACGACTTGTTCTCCAAGCTTGAAAGAAAAGCGATATCTTCTAAAGATGCCTGTAAATTCATTATACAGTTCTTTAACTGTAAGTCTTCTAACTTTGGACTCCTGCTTTTTCTATGCAATTTATGTGGTATTTCTTCTCATTAGTTGAATTGGGTTGCTGGTTGAACCAACCTAGTGAATTGGTTGGTAAAAATCTTAATTCTTTTTTCACAAGGCTGACCTTTAATGTCTGAAATAATTTCTATACATATAAAAAGAAAAAAAGATCGATGTGTTTTGGTTACTCAGTTATTGTTCTCCGTATGGACAGAGCTTTGTCGTATGAAGTTTGCATGCTCTGGTCTACTGTTGGTGTCATTTCTCCTGAGCTGTAACCTTTGTCCTTTTTCTCCAAATAAGTTTCTTTGCGCCAGTTACTTCAATGGAGGAAGATAGTAAAGGTGGTGTTATGTTTAAATGTGTGAATAATTGGGCTGGGTTCTGCACCCTAAACAATTCTTTTATGGTAAGTAAGATGATTGTTTGGCATGGCTGGTGAGTTTTAGATGGTATTCTTCCAAGCTCTCACTCTTAGAGCTGGCACATGCTCTAAAAGTGTAATTAATACAAAAGGTCTTTAAATCAGGAGTCAAAGGCTAGGGATGCAGAAAGGTTTTTCCGTTTCTATATTGTCTGTTCAAGCTCAGCTTGATAAATTAGAAGGCTTTAGTTTGGTTTGTGATCCGCTTGTTATCTAAAAAGGAGAAGCTTAAACACACAGATAACCACGAGTTACTTGAAACTTGGTTTCTTCCCTATTGCAAGCCAAGCTCAAGTGCCCATCTGAAAATTGTGCTGTTTTTTGGCTGAAGTGAACGAAATTGCTTGGAGGTTGATAGAAGCCTTCCTTACATTCATTAAATTATATTACCTATTATGCTCAAGCGTAAACTGAGAGGCATTTACTGAACATGATGACTGCAAACATGTTTGAATTCATTCTTTAAGAGCTTAATAGATTCATGTTTAGGCTTGCAGTCCATTTTGGCGTGGGATGTTCTTTAGGCCTTTTGATGGTGCTGTAAATTTGATAATTTTATCTGATCAATTGTTGCTGTATAATGGACCTGATGTTTGTATAATGGACTCGTGGAACTTGATCTTGGTTATCTTGCATAAGAAGAAGCTGTGCTTGGGAATTCTTGAACCTTTTCAGGCTTAGATATAGGGTTGAGCTGAGGTTGAATGCATAACAACTAATAGCATTGGAGGAAATAAATCAGTAGCTATCTGCTTGGGGCTAATTAGAAATGACGACCTGCAATAACTTAAAATGCAAGAGGTGTGCCTTATATGGCAATTTTACTTTTTTCTCACACATTTATAATGAGGTATTAAGCTGTTGGCCAGCCCATTCACAAGTCTCAGAAGGAGTTCATTCACCAGTCTGTTTACTTGATTATTTTAGATCTTTGTAGATGACAATTTTCGATAATGTGAGTAGAAGGAATGCCAGTAGATCTTTTGTGAAACCAATAATGCAGGCATGGCTGCCATCTGTGCCATAATTTAGAACATATGGTTTTCCGGAGAAGAAACCTGCATTTGAGGAAAATGTCCAATGCTTTAGGACACAGGGCTAACGATAGTCGTAGAGCATCTATTGTTCATACTGTTCAGGATTTCAGTAGTTTGTCTATTAGTGAGAGTATTCAGCCTACTGTTTCGTAATAGACCATATCATCAGTCAAAATATCTCTTCATCTAAGAAATATCGAAGGTTTAATTGTCCTTCCATACATTAGTTCAAGCAACTCGAGAAACAATTTGACTGCTCTTCCAGTAGCCTTTTCCTATATGAAATAACTAATCTGTGATTTGTCTGAAACTTGATTTACAAAATGGCTTAGGTTATTTCTTTAATTTTGGATGCCTGATTTCTTATTTCTGGGTGCTTACATGGATTAGTTACCACCTAAAAGCAAATCAGTTTCACACGACCTCTGCAGTGCTTGAGCTTTGCAGTTTTGAGCAACAAAGGTCTGAAGTCATGAAGTGTATGTGCTTATCCATTAGAAATGTCCAATATCATCTTCAAAAATATGAAGTCAGTGGCAAAGAATTTTGGTAACAAGTAATTTGCCTATTGGAATGCCTTATAATTGGGATAGATGGTCATGATTCACTGTCCTTTGGTATTGTCCTGAACCTCGTCAGAGCTAGTCAATGTTCATATAATGTCCAGACCTGCTCACTTGTGCTGAGGTTGTTTTCCATAACCAGGAAATGTCATCTCCATGACTGGTTTGTTAGACAATAATATAACTGGGATTTTAGCATGTCTGTTCTATGTCTATTTCCCTTGTGTACAGAAAAAAATCGAAGTAAAATAAAAAGTTAAATTGAGAAAAGAAAGAAAAAAATACCTTCTTTTATCACATTAATCAAAATTTTATGATCTCTAGATTCTCAACTTCAACCTCCTTCAATTGCAAGGTTATCTGTTTAGTTATTTATGTTCATAAATTCAAACTATAATGTTTCTTCTTTTGGGTTTGTTAGATGCAGATAGTATGTCAGATTTTCCTGCTTCTGGTGTTTCTGCAAAAGAATTGATGCCAACAGAATCTAGCCTTAGAAAAGATGCAGTAGCCATGCTGCCAGCAACTTCTCTCCCTCCAAAATATACAATTTACAACATTGGCTCTTCAAGTGGAAGACGTGATTCAGTACCAAATGATCGACACCGAAATGACCTTCAAGCTGCCCTCCTTGATGACCTAAAAGTTGGAAGCGAGTTTCAATTTGGGAAGTTACCGAAGAATGATGGATTCGACAGCTTAGAAAGCATTGTGCGGATCAAAGAAGCAGAAGCAAGAATGTTCCAGGGCAAGGCAGATGAAGCACGGAGAGAGGCTGAAGGCTACAGGCAGATGATTCGTGCAAAGTCTCACAAATTGGACGAAGAATATGCAGAGAAGCTGGCCAAACTGTGTTTGCAGGAGACAGAAGAAAGACGGAGGAACAAACTGGAAGAACTGAAGGATTTGGAAAATACTCATTGTGATTACTACAACATGAAGTTGAGAATGCAAGCAGAGATTGCTGGTTTATTGGAAAGAATGGAGGCCACAAAGCAGCAATGGGTGTAATTTGTTCCTTTTGTTTTTATAATTTTTCTTACAGATGATGCTTAATAGTATGCGATTGTCTTATATCTTTGCCATTTTGGGCTTGAAATGTTTGTTCTCCAAATGCAAAATGCATTACTTTCCTTCCTTGCTGTGAAACTGGGGAGCTTGAAAGCTCATGGCTTCAATGGATAGAGCAAGGAACAAAACCAGTGAAATTTTATCTTATATTGTATTTCAAGTTACTTGATACTGTAGATTTATTTGGTCGCTGTCTAAAATTGGTAAATACATGACAGGATCAGACTTCAGAGGGGCCAATGTTGCTGCTGCTGCTGTTGACCTCAAACTCCATATTATTTGATATGCCAATATCTTAATTGTTAATTATAATTGTCAAATATTAACCGCACTACTTGTTGCTGCTACCAAAATTGTATTATTTGATTCTGCAGATAATTTATAAAATGTATTTTCCTGTGACAAAGCACGAAACCAATAATGCATATCGTTGTTGTCCATCAAGAAAATTTTAATGGAGGAATAAAGGTGACAATTATGATCCTGGGACTATTAAAATGCCCGCCATCGTGTGAGTTATAGAACCATTGATTCATAGGTGTCAATTTTTGCTTTATTCATTGAAAATTTTGTTGGGCCTACACGTCTAGTGGTACCGTAACCATTAAGCCATAATTAATTGCTTTATGGACATAGGATAATAAAGAAAATAAAATGAAAAGAAGTGCTTCAAAGCTCCATTAATTATGCAAGTCCAACCAACCTACTCTTGCCTCTTGGTTTCTACGATTTAAATGTTCAATTTTGACTTTTTTTAGTGTTTAATCGATAAATTTTTTTATGGACATAGGATAATAAAGAATATAAAATGAAAAGCAGTGCTTCAAAGTTCCATCAATTATGCAAGTCCAACCAACCTGCTCTTGCCTCTTGGTAACGCGGTTGGAAAAGAGAAAACTACAATTTAAATGTTCAATTTTGACTTTTTTTTTAGTGTTTAATTGATAATTTTTTATTTTTTATTTTTTATTATTATTTTTTTTTATTTTTTTTTTTTATGGACATAGGATATAAAGAATATAAAATGAAAAGCAGTGCTTCAAAGTTCCATCAATTATGCAATTCCAACCAACCTGTTCTTGCCTCTTGGTAATGCGGTTGGAAAAGAGAAAACTACAATTTAAATGTTTAATTTTGACTTTTTCTTAGTGCTTAATTGATAATTTTTTTTATCTAAGTATCTGAGCTTTAATATCATTTTTGTTCGAGTATTCAAAATCACTTGAGATTAAAGAATATTAATGTATTTAGAATGAAAGAAATGATACGTAGCAGTTTTTAAACTAGTAAAAAGTGGATTCTACTTTGATTGTTTGGGAAAAAAAATCGATTTTTTAAAGAGAAAACCATAATGCCTTACTTTTGATTATTTTTCTTTTTAAGGGCCCAACATTTGTTTTTTTGTTTTTTTATTTGAGTTCATTTGGTCACCCGAAATTAAAAAATACTAATGTGATCGGAATTCTACTCGACATACAACATTTTTTAAAATGAAACATGATAAAAAATGAATTCCGCTTAGATTTATTGAGAATATATATATATATATATGATACTTTTATATATAAAAAAAACTAATAATTGTTTTTTTCTAAGTTCTTACCAACTATTTTTTTATAAAAGTTTTTTTTTTCTCAATAAATCTGAATGGAACTCACTTTTTACCATGCGTCAACGAATTCTAATTATGTCAATATTTGTTAGTCTTAATTGACAGAGAAAACTCAAATAGAAAGGAAAAGAAATCAAAATTTAAGCACTCAAACAACAAAATTACCAAAGATTTGACACTCAAATTGTATTTTTTTGAAAAAAAAAAACCAAGTGGGACTCACTTTTTATCACGTGACAGTTCATTCTAGATACATTAGTATTTTCTAATCTCAAGTGACTATGAACACTCAAATAAAATAAAATAAAATAAATCAAATGTTGGGTACTTAGATAGAAAAATAATCAAAGTTTAAGTGTTCAAATTGTATTTTTTTTTTCTGAATAATTTAAGTGGAAATCAAATTTATTTTTTTTGTCAAGAGAGATTTTTTTTTTATTTTTTATAACCGACACATCCAAGGCTCCTAACGTAACTAGTTCACTAGGATTTGAACTCGTAACCTCTTACAAGAGACCACTGCTATTGAGCTACAAGCTCTTTGGTTGTCAAGTGATATTTATTATAAACATATCGACATTTTTTAGTCTTGAGTGACTATGAGTTTTCAATAAATAAATAAGCTTGAACACTCAAATAAAATGATTCATCAATTAGGAACTCAATTATGTCAATATTTGTCAGTCTTAATTGACCGAGAAAACTCAAATAGAAAGAAAAAAATCAAAATTTAAGCACTCAAACAACAAAATTACCAAAGATTTAACACTCGAATTGTATTTTTTAAAAACAAAATCAAGTGGGACTCACTTTTTATCATGTGACAGTTCATTCTAGATACATTAATATTTTCTAGTCTCAAGTGACTATGAGCACTCAAATAAAAAATAAAATAAATCAAATGTTGGGCATTTAGATAGAAAAGTAATCAAATTTTAAGTATTCAAGTTGAATTTTTTTCTGAATAATATAAGTGGAAATCATTTTTTTTTTTTTTTGTCAAGTGAGATTTTTTTTTTATTTTTTATAACTCATACATCCAAAGCTCTTAATAGAATTAGTCCATTAGGATTTGAACTCGTAACCTCTTACAAGAGATCACTACTATTTGATTACAACTTACAAGCTCTTTGGTTCAAGTGCTATTTATTATAAACATATCAACATTGTTTAGTCTTGAGTGACTGTGGGTATTCAATAAATAAATAAGTTTGGACAATCAAATAGAATGATTCATCAAATTAGGCACTCAAATAATAGTTCTCTCTTTGCAAAATTATTTTCGAGCTTTATTATGGTGGTAAGAATTAAAATGGATTGTTTCCTGTATTATCACTCAAAATCCAATAATAAAAGAATTTATTTTAATGTGCAAAAATAGAACAAGAATATATGTAAACTTAAAAAATCATAAAAAAGAATTGAATAAATAAAGGATTTCACTAATAAATATACGTTTTTATAAATGGTTGATAAAGAAAATGAGATGAAAAAACAATCAACTTGTTTCCATCTCACAGAGAGTCATAGTTAGTCTTTTACTTTTCCCATGGCGTTCATATTAGTCTTGATTTTATCTTTCCTCTAACGCCATCGACTAACCATTAATAATAACTATGAAAAGAAAAGGAGGGATGGAAGGAATACTAAGTGTTTTTTATACTCCTTAATTAGACCAAAAAATAAAGGATTTAATGGAAAAAAATTGTCCTTGTTTTATTGCAATTTGGTAATTTGATATCTTTAGTACTAAATTGTGTAATTTGAACTCAAACATATTGATTTTTTAGCAAATATGATCCAAATTGTTGAATTTTCGTTATGTACAATGATCAATGAAATATTTAAACAACATTATTCAAGCATTCTAGTGTTTTTTTTAAAAAAAAAAAAAACTTTAAAACATTAACAGTTCATAATTAACTCTTTTTTCAATTACAATTGAAAACAAGGAGATAGGACATTGTTAGAGTGATTGTGATTTAGGTATTTGGTTAATTTTGTGGTTTTTTCTTCAAATTTCGACTCTAAATAAGAGATTTCAGTTAAGTTTTTTAGCAATTGAAGTGAATTGGGTATAGACAGAGTGAATTAGATCTTTTGTAATTATTGTTATCTTCTTTAGATTTCGATTGTGATAGAGAGAATTAATGGCTTTTCAAAAAAAAATTCTTCTCCTAAAGCAAAACCCTTGAATGTTAAATATTTTTTCATTATTCATTAAAAAATTCAATATGATTATCTTGATGATTCTCCAATGAGATATTGCATTTCACCTGATTTTTTTGACAAAACACAGACAAAAAATAGAAGGGACCACTAATATTCCATTTGTTGACAAAACCTGAATATATAATCGAATCTCTAACGGTAAAAATCAAAAAATGATGATAAAAAATACAAAAGATGGTTTAAAGATTTCCCTAATACATTTGACAATTACCTAAATTAAGTCAGAATACAAAAACACCTAAGCCTTAATTCACTCTCTCATAAACCCAAACCATTCTCTAGCTCTCTCTATCTATCACTTTCGATTTCGTGAGAATTAATTGAAAACCTAATTCCTTCGCTCCAAATTCATTCTATTAATGTTTTTAAGCTTTTATATATATATATTTATGTCGAAATGCTTAAACTCGTATCATTTAAGTATTTTGTATAACGGTTAACTCAATTGATCATTACACATAACGAAGATTGGACAATTTAGATCATATTTATCTAAAAACCGATATTTTGGGATTCAAATTATGCAATTTGATATTAAATGCCTGAAATTATAAAATTGCAATAAAACAGAGGTAATTTTTTCCAAATAACCGAAATAAAAATGATTACAAATTATTTAAAAAATAATGATTCCATTTTCATTAGTGTTATTATGAACAGATCATAAATTAACAGCACCCAACAAAATCTCTCTAAAACAACATTAAATTTATTTAACAAATAAATAAATAAGTTAGAAGACCCCCATACAATACAAGTGCAGCCTAGTAAGAAAGAGCAAGTTTCGAGGCCTAAGCCTGCTTTTCCCCCATCCCTTAATTAGAAAAAAAGATAAATAGAACCCCAGTTTTATTACTAGTTGACGAGATAACAAATTAGAATCCCACAGGCATAGAGAAGATCTAATACTATTTGATGTTATTAATATCCTCGTGGAAGGACACCACTCAGCCCAACACTGACTGCAAATAGAACAAGCAAGAGTCCAGTGAAATTGACAATAAGTCCTTCTTGGCTAACGCCTAGGCCGAAGAAATTTGAAGTTTCCAGCAAACCCGTCTGGGCTGTGCATATAGCGAGGAAAAATATTGCCAAACCCCCAAAAACGTGCCATGGCCTGTATGAGCCTCTTGCTGACATTTCTGCACCTGGGAACACAAATGAGAAGAGCCCCAACAACCACTGCAGCCAAATCATGGAATATCAACCTCTGAATTTGTGTTAATCAGTGATCAGAATGAAAAAATTAAAATAAAAAATTGAAGATTCAATTAATTAAACAAGCCTCTAACATAGTAACATTTGAGATTGTCCAAAAAAACAAATGGTATAATTTGTACCGACAAAGAAAAAAAAATACCTGTAAACCAAATAAGCAGATGGTGATCATGCCAAGCCAGGAATGTAAACTAGTCATGTCTTTTTCCCCCACCTCATGCTTAAACCGGAAAGCTGTATAAACACCAACTACTCCAGCCAGCAGTGCCATCAGATGTAATGTTACATGAAAAACTTTTTGCACCTTTCTTTTTGCTGGAACTGACTTGTATGCCATAGTAGCTGGTTCAAAAATGAAATTTAAAATTAGAACCTAAAATGTTTTCTTTACAGCAATGAAGTGACAGAAATACTACTGTGAAGCAATTCTAGAAGAAGTCTACTAGTAGTACGTATTGCAAGTACAACGTGGCTTCAAAGCCTTAAAACCTCTAGTTTTGCCATGAAATGTCAGCCTTGCTATCAGAACTATTGAAATAAGCAGTAATTATTTGTGAAATTAATTATAATGCATTTGTTTATCATTTTCTGATTCGTTAATGAATTCATAAAGCTACTTAATTAATTTCTTACCTTCTCCCGCAACAAGTATAAATCCAACTACCATTAGAAGTGTATGCACCTGAATTGAGACGAATCAAGAAGTTGAACAAAGAATTTCTAATGAAAAGCATAATTATGAACATATTATAAATGATTGAAGCGTGATGGAGCTTACATTCAAAATCTTGTCTTTGTTAGCAGATTCGAAAGCAAGGCCTCTTCGGAAGTGTAGAAGCCAAACAAGAACAAGGGTTGCGACTGCTATAGCTAACAAATGGGCAAACATTGTTACTGGGGTCGCCGAGATTTGGTAGCTTCGACTTTTGGGTGGCATTGCGCAACCAGATGATACTGTGTCTAGTGCTTTAGCTCAAAGAGACAGAGGTGAGTGAAGAGGAAGAGATAGGTGAGAGCTGGAAATAATTGCTGTAGTAGTTTATATGTATGCACACGGGTTCTTCAAGTACTTGAAATCATCATCATTATTTGCTTCTATTCACTAAGTTGGAAAGTACAAAGTGATTCGTTTGTTTCCATCGTAAGCTAGCTTTGGTGTGAACTATTTTCTCGATAAACTATATTTTTGCTCTTATGAATTCATCGCTATTTCACTTGTATCCCCATAGTTTAAAATTTCCAAATTTTACCCTTATAGTTTTTTAAAAAATTCAATTTTCCTTTACTAAATAACTAAAAAAAAAAAAGGACTCATTGTTCTTCGTATTCTTTTAAAACTTTTATCTCACATTTTACTCTCAAATTGCCGTAAAGTCTATAACATCTAACAAAAATACTTAGAAACCTAAAAAATCTAAAAAAAAACCAAATTAGAAAGTAGATTATTTAACAGTTAGAGGTAACATTGAGAAGTTCTAAATTATAAAGGTAAAAGTGGAATACTTGTGAATCTTTAGGGACAAAATGAAGTTTACACTTATTTTCTTGATTAATTTTACACGGAAATTTTTCTGTGTACACTGTGGTGTGCACAAAGAAAGCCTTGGTTTGTTTGCACAAGAAAAAAAAAATCATCCTAATCCCAAATGGAGTATTAGGAAACGTCAAGGCCTGCAGGTCTTCTGACCAATAAGATGGACAGCTTGGATTTGTCGGGAACATTTTGAAAGTTTAATCAAATGAATCCTGCTTTGAAGGTTAAAACAAAATTTATTAACTTGGAAGAATAATGTTAATGTCCATTACCCAACAATGGAATGTTCAAAAGTACTTTATAATGTAAAATTTGTTGGTAATGCAACATTTTGGGAGGTGGGCAGGGGAGCATGGAGCCATAAAGAAAAGCAAATGGCCTGGATGGTCCACGTGAAAATGTTGACTAAATCCGCAAAGATTAACGGCTCCATTCTTCCCTTGCGTCATTGGAATTTGAATTGATTAGGTTAACGGTCTTGTGATCAAACGATGCATCGTTCAGACTAGAGATATTTATGGAGTAGAAGGAAAATTAAAGATAAGAAGAAAAAAATTGCTTTCAAATATATCTTTAGACGAAATTAATAGAATAATTCAACTTGAAAATATAATTTAAATTTTGTTATAAAAGAAATAGAAATAATAGGAGAATTAAAAGAAAGGATGACAAGAAAATGAAATCACTATAATGTGGATACAAGTGATAAGAACTTCAAAGTTTCTTTTATTCTCTCTAGAAAATTTATACACCAACTAATAAACAATCAAGCCTATTTATAGGCATCAAATTTGAAAAGAGAATTGAAATGGACTATGAATAATCAATTACATCACCCTTTCAATTTCTCATATTAAATCATATGAAGAATCATGAGTAGTGAAGATATAAAAAGTAGATGAACATGATGATGGACATTCATTATTTCATAACACTCCTCTTTGAATGTCCATTGTATAAGGAACACGTCTCGTTAAAACCTTACTAGGAAAAAACCTAGTAGGAAAATATCGTAGTGAAGGAAAAAGAATACAAGATTCCTTGTATACATTAATCTCAATGTTGGCCTCCTCCTATTGAAAACATGATTTGAGATCTCTAAGATGATGTATTTCAATCTTGTGAATAATCTTCTCAAAAGTTGTGGTAGGTAATGCTTTAGCGAATAAATCTGCTAGATTGTCACTTTGATGTATTCTTCCTTTAATGGAATTATGCAAACAAGCATTATCCTCATTATGATATTGTTGGAACTTCCTTTTCGATAGATAAATTACATGTCTCTCGGATACGATGGATTGTTGATCTTAGCCAAACACATTCTCGACTTGCCTCGTGAATTGATATGATTTGAAGATGTGACGAGTTATAGTTTGCTTCATAGAACACCAAAATATAGTTGTATCTCCATATGTAAATATATAATTGGTTGTGATCGAGCTTTGTGTGGATCGGATAATAACTTGCATCCGCATAATCAATTAATCTTGTCTTTGATTTATTAGAGTAATATAAACTCATATCAATTATTCCTCGAAAATAACATAGTATATGTTTAATTCTATTCCAATGTCTTCGTGTTTGAGCGGAACCATATCTTGTCGAATACTATTAGTAAGATATATCAATGCACTAGTGACATTAAGATACGGTACTTCGGGACTAAGTAGTTCTTTATTATCTTCTCGAGGTAAAAAATGATCTTTTTGGATATCAAGTGAAAGAACTACCATTGGGCTAGTCAATGAATTATCTTTATATATAATCATTGTAGAACCTTTTTCTATATAAATTAACTAAAGAATAAAAGTCTCATTCCGTGAGTGTTCGATCCGCAAGTCGAGATAATATTTTTTTCCTAAGGTATTTACATCAAGTTCTTTTTTTAGATAACTTATGACACTTGAAATCTCTTTAGGAGTTCCAATGATATTTATATATAATCATTGTAGAACATTTTTCTATATAAATTGATCGATGAATAAAAGTCTCATTCTTTGAGTGTTCGATCCGCGAGTCGAGATAAAAAAATTTTTCCAATGTATTTACATCAAATTCTCTTTTTAGATAACTTATGACACTTTGAATCTCTTCAGGAGTTCCAATGATATTTAACTCATCAAAACAAACCCCTTTTCAAATAAAAATATATGAACAAATATGGTTATTTTTTTTATAACTTTCTTTCAATAAATAATCATTGAAGTGATTATATGACATACACATGGGTTAGTAATAAACGAGTAGATATAAAAATAAAATATAAAAAAGTATAATATAAATTGAATTTCTAAAAAATAAAATAATAAAACAAATACTAAAATAATCCTAATAGAGATCTCTATAATTTAATTGAATTCTTTTCTCGAGAATATGTATTACATGCTTCTTGCATGTTAAGTCCATCTAGGACTTTCATACCGATATCATTTCAAATGAACAAATAAACCGTGATCACATTCATTAAATGCATACATATGAATGTTTTTCATACATTTTTTCGAGTCGATGAGATAACAAAAGACAATTGCATCCATTATAGGAGAATATGTCTCCTCATAGTTAATGTTAGTTCTTTACGAAAAATTTTATGTTAAAAGTTTTGCTTTGTATCTTACAATCTCATCTTTCTTATTTCATTTATGCATAAATACATATTTGTATTCCACTAGCTTAACATCTTTAGGTGTTTTAGCCGTAAGTTCAAAAAACTACTCTTTTATAAGAGAATATAATTCTGTTTGGATTTCTTTTTTCATTTAGGCCAATCATCTTTATGTCAACATTCTTCAATAGATTTTAACTCGGGATCCTTATTTTTATTCAAAATATAAATCAAAATAATGTATACAAAAAAATTTTCTTTTTGATCCTTATTTTCTTCCCGTATTGACATAATTTATCAAAGTCTCTTAATTTTTTTCAAGCATTTAGACTTCTTCTGAAGCCTATTATCATATTTATCTTGGATCATTTTGTGAATATTTATATCTATCATATTTTCATCTTTTCCTTTTCTTTTGGAGATTTTTATCTTTAGAACCGATCAGCCTTTCATGCTTCGGGCATGCTTTAAATTCTTTGGCTATAACATTAATAGATCGGCCTTCTAGGGCATCAATTCTAATAGGAGCATTCTCGGCGGGGACATATATTATAGTTACTCATTTAGGATTTAAGAATGCATTTAGCAGTTGGTTTGTAATACTTTGTAAATGAATTATCTTTTAAACTTCTAGTTCACATTGTTTTGTATAAGATTCAATATGATATAAAGATAGAGTACTCCGTGTAATCTTTTTTTTTTCAACATTTTCAACTCGCTTATTTTGCTTATCTCTTCATAATGTTGGAAAAACTGTTTCATCAAAATGATAATCGATAAATTGAGTCTGTAAAAATATCTCTTGTTTATAAATCAAGAGATCAAAGAGGATTCAAATCCAACATATATTCTCAATCTCCTTTAAGTACCTATTTTATTTCATTATGAATGAGCACTACGGATATATACTCGCAATGTTAAAAATTCTTAAATAAAAAATATTTGACTTATGACCATAAATCAATCGAAGACGAGAGAATTTCGATAACTTATAGTCCGATACGAATAAGTGTTACTGCATATAAAATTGCATGTCTCCCAACATAAATAGGGGGTTTTATTTTTTAAATAATGATTAAGCTATCAATTGGACTATTTTGATAAATAATTTTGCTAAACCTTTCGAGTATGAACATGAGCAATAATACCTTTATTCTAATAGCCAATCAATAATAATTTAATACTTGAGAATAATTTCACCACCATTATCAAGGTGACTTAGGCATAATCGAAAAATTATGCTCATAATCAAATTATTTACTAGCAATCTCGAAAACATCGGGTTTCGAGTAGATGATAAACATATATGTGACCATCTTGTATATATATTTATTAAAATTGTAAAATATTTAAATGGTCCACATGGTGGATGAATTGATTCACATATATCACCTTAAATACATTCTAAAAATACTCGAAGATTCAATCTCAATTTTACTTAATGATGGCTTAATCATCAATTTATCTTGACAACATGCAAAACATGAAAATTCATTAAATTAAAGAATCTTTTGGCTCTTCAATAGATGTCCATATGAATTTTTAATAATTTTTTGCATAATGAAAGACCCAAGATAATACAACTGGTCATATCACATAATAAAAGTATTTGAATTAGTAAACTTCGGTTTACTATAGCATTTTTTTAATCATTCCAATATTTGTAATAAAGACTAGAAGAGAAAGCGGATAAATTTTTCAATACATATTTTCTACCCGGTATAATGATTATAATATATAAGTATTCACATTTGTTATCTTGATATGATATCAATTTAGATGAATATTTTTAAAACTCGATAAGTTTCTAAGAGACTTTGAAGAGAATAGTACATCATTTATAATAAAATTTATCCTTTCGGATAATAACATATTTGCTCTTATGGAACCTTTAAATTATGTGACTTCAAGCAATAATATATGACTCTTCTAGAGCCTTTAAAAGTTGTCTCTTCAAGTAATAATATATTCACTCTTCTAAAGTCTTTAAAAGTTGTCTCTTCATGTAATAATGCATTTGCTCTTCTAGAGTCTTCAAAATTTATCTCTTCGAGTCATAATATAATCGCTCTTCTAGAGTCTTAAAAGTTTATCTCTTCGAGTAATAATATAATTGCTCTTCTAGAGCTTTCTATTATATTGATATTATCATATACAATATTAATAAAAAATAAATAATCAAATAAATCAATAGAAAATAAATAAATAAATAGTAAAATAAATTTGTAACTATCACTATACGATATAAATTATAAAAAATATAAAATATTTTATTTATAAATAGAAAAAATAACAAGTAATTAATTTCAATTACTATTATTTTGATATATAAAAGGGGTCTTCGTATTTTACTCTTTATTTTTCAATAGAGCTTGACAAGGCTCAACGAGTCGCTTTGGTGTACGACAAGTACACAACTAATATTCATTCATTCCACATCTATAATATTTATTTTTCGAGTACTCGACTATATCTATTTTTATCATTTTCTTTTTGTTTTCCATAGTTATTCACTTTTGGTGATGAAATGTAATATTATGGTCATCATAATTATAATGATAATTATTTCGATTACGTCCATGGTTATGACCACATCTTTGTCCATGCCTAAAATCATTATGAGTTGTCACATTCACTTCGTGGAATTGAGTAAATCGAGTTGGATGAGATTTATTCATTTTCATCGATAGCTTATCATTTTATTTAGCCATAAGCAAATATGAAATCGATTCGAATATTTCTTAAATTCATTTTCTCAATATTGCTACTGCAGGAGCATGTTCAAGACATAAAAAGTCGAGAATATTTTTTCAGAATCAAGCACTCATAATTAATAATTCTTATTCGAAATATCAAGAGCCATAAAATCGAGTTTATGAGGTTTGATACGATAAAAATTCTATAATGTAATATATAATAATAATATTAGAAAACAAGAACAAACATAATAATAAAATTAAAACTTTTTCAAACAACATATATTAGATTATTAGATTCTATATATTAAATCATTTAAGTTTTTCAAATGTATATTATGTATATCATTATATTTAAAGTACATGATAAATTAGATACATACCTCTTAATGATCTAAATAATTTAGATCTTTTGGTAAAACACTTATGTAGAAGAAATCCAATGATTGAAACAATTGATTAAGTCTTTTGGTGGATACATACCTCATGGTCTATTATCTCGATTGGTTAGAGCTTCGTGTCGATAACGTGTTATAAAAGAAATAAAAATAATAGGAGAATTGAAGGAAAGAATGACAAGAAAATAAAATCACTATAATGTTGATACAAGTGATAAAAACTTCAAAGTTTTTCTTATTATCTCTATAAAACTTATACACCAATTAATAAACAATCAAGCCTATTTATAAGCTTCAAATTTGAGAAGAGAATTGAAAGGAACTATGAATAATCAATTGCATCACCATTTCAATTTCTCATATTGAATAATGAATTAAATTATATTAAGAATCATGAGTCATGAGGATATAGAAAGTAGATGAACATGATGATAAAAATTCATAATTTCATAAAAAATTTATATTTTTTATTTTAGATAATTAATATTATGTAATTAGTTAATGTTCTTTGTATTCATTATACTTTCAAATAACATAATTGTTAATTCACCCAACAGGTGACGGCAAATAATTGGTTTGCTTCACTTTGAAGTATAACACACTACAATAATCAAATTCATGGTTAAAAGAATCAAATCTCTTTTGAATTTTAATTATTTAAAAATTAATTTTTAAACTTTTAATTTATATTTTGAACTTTCTCTTTTTTGAAAAAAATTAATTCATTTTTAATTTTTTATCATTTATTCTGAAAAAATAACAATTACATAAAAATATTTTAAATTTTTTGTTAACTTTATATATACCTACGACCTTTAAAAAAGTTAATTTGATTACTATAAACTATTTAAAAAAAAAAACAGAGGGACTCTTCTCTCAATTTTAACCACATGTGATAGTCTAGAAACACAACATGTGATTTGAAAGGGAAAAAAAATAAAAATATAAAAATAAAAACCCAAAATTGTTTTTCATCTTCTTCACCCTCGTATTTTTTAATTTTTTTTCCCCCATCTTCATCATCACATGGAAGTAAATCTCACAAACAAAAATCAAGAAAACCCAAAAATTCTTCATCTTCTTCATCCTCGTATTTTTTTTTTTTCATCTTCATCATCACAAGGAAACAAATCTCACAAGCAAAAATCAAGAAAACCCCAGAATTCTTCTTCATCGTCCAGACCACCATCACAGTCCCACGCCTCCTCCAATAATCCTAAACACTGCCATGATTTTCCACCACGATCTGGCTTGTGGCGTTCCTTTGAATTCGTGATGGAATGTTGTCGAAATTGCAGATTGCAGGTAATGATAAGTCCTTCATAATTTCCCCACTTTCTGGTTGAAGCATTTTTATGAGATTGTGGGTCATTTTGCGGATAACCAAAAACCGAATTGAAGGAGGCTGTAGACCCCTCTCAAAGATGAATGCTTGTGATTTGAAAATTTGCAGAGAAAAAGAAAAATGGTGAAGACTATAGTGGTTTTGGGAAGAAGTATATCGTTTTGTATTATGTCAAGAGGTTGCTTTGCCTCAGCGAGTATGTATTTGATTAGGGTGGATTTGAAAGAAAACCCCAAAATTCTTTTTGTTGTGAACAGTTTTGGGGTTCTTGAGTTTTGAATTTTTATTTTTATATACTTCTTAGATTTATTTTTATGTATTTTTTTCAAGACAGGTGATATATTTCTAGACTATCACATATGTTCAATTTCTGATTTAGTTATCTGAGTTTCACCAAAAATTCTTTGTATTTTGATTTAATTATCCTCAGGAATGTGATGTCTTCTAAAATAAAGGAAATCACATTCCTTGTTGGGAGGGAAGGTGAATTTTTAGTTTAAAAAAATAAATAAATAAATAAAACAAGATGCTCTTACTTTTATCAATAATCTATGTGTGGGTGTGTGTGTTTATGTGCATAATTATTTAGAATAAAATATAATATTGATAGATTAGATATTTTAAATCTTAAAGGTAAAATAGTAAATTTATTTAAAATTTTCATGCATTTATGTGAATGAACCAAATAAAATTAAGAGATATTAACAAAAAATTTCAATTTCAACCAAATATAAATATCACATTTTCATCTATCATATTTCAAAGTGGACTTCTAAAAATCTGCACACCATACGCTCCCTAAAGATAGAAAAAATCTCACAATTCCATCAGGATTCCATTTTTTTTCCCTATAATTTCTCCATTTAAGAGTAAGAAATTAATTATTTTTTTAAAAAAACTAATTATTTAGTTATGTTTATTCATTTTATATTCTTTTCTATTGTTTTTCAACAAATAAGTAAAATAAATAAATATTATGAAAAAATTAATGAGAAAAAAATATTTTTAAAAAAATAAAATTTTATTAAATTAATCACTATCAACACTGATCAAGAATTTAAATAATTATTTTTTAAAATAAAAATAATTCATTCATTCATTTTTTCAAAATTGAAAGCACTAATTTATAATTTACTCCTCCATCACGAGAGAAAGATGACATAAAAATTAAATGGTGGCCAGTTGAAAAAAAGAAGGGAAATTAATCGGTGGGACTCATCTTCAACATATACAATAATGCGATGAAAGTTTCGAGCCCATGAAAAAGTCACAACAAGCCCAACAAGGGATTGTTAATCTACAACCCCAGTTTCCGAAATTATTAATAATAAAATCAATACATAATAGGAATATTACAACATCAACCCGATTACTTGCTTGCTTTCAATGAATCAAGATACAAAATTATACATTCAAAAGAGAGAGAAAAGAAAGACAAAATAATAAAATAAAGAAATCACCGATCAAAGAATAAGTAATAAAAGATCACGCACTATAAGCTGTGTAATCATCAGACATAGCGGGCAAGAGCAACCGAAAGATCAACGAATATGCCAAAGAGAAGGATAAAAAGTCCAGTGAAGTTGATCAAACGAGATTCGCGATGATGCTTTAGGTTGAGAAATGTGGCTTTCTCCATCAACCCAGTTAGAGCTGCACATATTGCCAGGTACAACAGTGCCCTGCCTCCACAGATGTGCCATGGAAGCATCCTTGCCCTTGTTTCTTCCCTAGCTTTCGGAAACATGAATGTTAACAGGCCGAACACCCACTGCCACCAAAGTTCCCAACAAGTGTCAACATTTCGGCCAAAGGTATAGTTATTTACTATAGCAAACTCACACATAAATTTAGGCAAAGTCACTTGTTTTCTCTCTTTTGTGAGAAAAAGTAGGTCATGCTTCCTGTGTTTCTAACTTGGTTGATCAAAATTGATAAAACATCAGTCAATTTTTCGAGTAAATTATAAATTAGTTTTTTTAGTCTCGTAAAACAAATTAAATAGTGTTTTTAGTTTAAAAAACTAATTAAGTGGTCCATTGACAATGTTGACCGTACTTAATTCATTTTTACTTTATTCAAAAAAATATATATTTTCTATTCTCATCAATATTTTTATAATATATTTTTTACTTCTTAAAAAAAAATAAACTGGAAAAAAGACATGAAATAGAGAGAGAAAAACATTGAGAGTAATTAATTACTTTTTAAAAATAGAGGAATTATTCAGTTCATTTTGCAAAAATATAGGGAGTAGATTATAATTTACCCTCAATTTGCCTCAATCAATATTGTTGTTAAATAAACAGTTAAAGAAGAGCTAAATTGCACGGATAAAAATAATAAATATTTAATTGAACTTTTTTGAAAACATCCACCCCCTCATTGACTGTCGACTTACCATGAAACTACCTCAATGGTTTCCGGGCGGTAAAAATCCCAATGTTGAGGCAACTGAAATGTTTTAGCAAAAGTTCAATTCAATCCTTATATTGATTAAAATTTCAATAGGGTCCCTTTCAGTCACACCAATGTATGCAAGTTATTGATTGAGGTCCCTTCATCAACATTTTATCAGTTTGGTTGTCAATTGAAAAAATTTTAAGCACTTAGGGGGAAAATGACCGTTTGCCACAAATTAACACGAAGGAGCAAAAGGATGGTTTTGGCTAAAAATTAATTAGTTAAAAGAAAGACAGAATGAAAGAATTCTAGCTAGCTAAAGAGTGTGGTTAATTGGGCAGTTTACGCACCTGCAAGCAAAATAAACAAAAGGTGCTTAAGCCAATCCATGAATGCAAGCTATAAACATCCTCTGCCTGGACCATATCATGATACTTGAAGACAGCACTGATGCCAACAATACCAAGACATATGGCGATCAGATGAAGGAACATGTGCATAGACTTCTGGACTATCCACGTCGATAACACTGTTTTGTATGTCATCATCGCTGCTCACGCCACCAACATATGTATTATATTTACATAAGAAATTAAGAAGCTGATAAAAGTATATAAGACAGGAGAAAATTATTAATTATATGTAATATGTGTACAAAAAACATTTTGAGGTGGTTAATTAGTTGGCGCTTGAAAGTTTTGGATTCAAAATTATGTATATTTTTCCCAAAAATACACTATAATGAAATAAATAATATAGCTGTTCCAACATCAAGTTGCAAATAAATGAAAAAAAAAATTTACTTCTTGATTAGGAATTTTGGGGAAAGTTAAAAGACACATACCTTCACCAGCAAGAAATATGAATCCACAGAACATAAGAAACGGATGAACCTACATGCCAAAATTAATAACATAATTGTATTAAAAAAAAACTAACAATAATTTAATTATAATTATATGGCAATAACATAACAAAGGGTGAGGAAATTTAATTTGTTTACATTGAAAACACGATCAGTATTGTCAGAATCATACTCGATACCCCCACGATAATGCAATAACCAAACCAGCATGAGAACGACAGCCAAGATGCCAAACAAGTGCGCAACTACTGTTAGACGGGAGGCCGATTGCCTGTAGATTTCCCTGCGGCTATCCATTGTTGGAAAGGAAGGGTGTTGTGTGCCCAAATATAGTGTTAACGAGTGAGTTTTTATAGAAATCTCTCTTAAAATATATAATGGCATCCATTGTTCTTGGGATTGCTTGTCTAGTTGGGTTTGGTATATTACACATGAAACTTAGTCACTTTTCTTATGAGAGAAGAGGAAGCTTTGTGTCGTAAGGAAAGCATCATTAGTACAAAGTATGACAGTTCTAATAACTGGACCCATGATATATATATATTTTTTTTAAGAAAATAATTTAATATGCCAATCTAGAGCATGGAAAATGGTTGCTCCTATATGATTAATCCTTTTATTGTTTTGATGAACCAATTATATAAGGATGTATACATGTTTATAGTGTTAGTTAACTATTTATCTATCACTTAAAAAGTTTAACCACTACAAAGAAATCAACCTATACATAATAGCGTACAGACTCCAAAAGTACGAGAATTTTTAAAGGTAGCAAATAACAAAATGTGTAAGGAATCCGTTTAAAAGAAAAAGGTGTTAGGGTAGAAAAGCATGCACTATATTCTATAGATAGATCATAATATAATAATAGAGAAATCATATACATACGCATTGATAGTCGAAGAATCCAAGAGCATGGTTTTGGGAAAAAAAAAAAACGCAATGAATGGAATTTAACACTTTTTTAAGTTACAAACGGTATAAATATTTTGCATCTTCGCAGCTTAACAATGGTTACACTTCAAAGAAGTAAATTTTTTTAAAAAAAAAACAAAAAACAAAAAAGATTATAAAATTTTATCTTTTTTTCTGAATATATATATTATTTATTTTCAATCAATGATTTTATATTAACTAATTTTATCATTTCTGATGTTTTGGATTAAAGGTGCCAAATTGGGTGGTGTGGGCTGGGTTTAAATGGTTTGGCTAAGCACCTACTTATGAGAGGAAAAGAAAAATGGAAAAAAGAACAGAAAACATAAAGCCCAACTTATGGCTAGATATTAAACCTGAGTAGCAACTTTAATTGTAAAGTGCAGACTTTCAGATGGACCACATATACAGAGAAGGAAACTGATGTGCTGATATCCTGGCTAATGTGGGAACGAATATGGATAATGGGATGACCCATGATCCTTTTTAGTCAGGCCTTGTAGGCCTTCTGAATGCATCATGGGCTAATCTTATTGAGTTGGGCCAGATAGATTGGCTTGTCTTTCGTTTTCTTTAGTTTTGGGCCTTAAAAAAAAGGTGCAGACTTTCATGAACGCTTTCTGCTTGACATTGAAAATACGGATAGCTGACTAAGTTTGGAACAACCTAAAAATGCGGCAAATCAAAGCATAGAAAGGAAGGCTGAAGAGATAGAACATTCAAGCAAAGACTACAAGAAGGGAGGTACCTTCGATTCTAAATGCTCACTTGTGAGTCGTGACCCAAGCTAACACCATCATTTATTAATCAAATTAGCAATTTTTAGTTAGACTAGTATCCACCAAGCTCATTTAATTAGTGCCCATTGAATACCAACCAACAAAGAACAACTGGAAAAAGAAGTAAAGGCATACCCACCTTTCTGTTGGACTTGTACATATTAATTAAAACCACAAGCTTGTCGTTGAGTTTGCATGAAACTGAGTAGACACAATAGGATCACTCCATAGAGTAATTCATGTAACTGTAGAAATCCCAACGGTAATTCCTACATTGTATGTTTGTTGTTTATTACACATTTTTCTCTGTGCAACTGGTTCCTTAACTAGTAGCTCATATTGACCAGTAAGGTATACTGAAAAAGAGAAGCGTTTGCTTTAGAATTATTGATGCAAGCATCAATAATTCTACTAATTAGTCACTCCCTATTTCTTTCAAGAGTAGTAAACTACTCTTTGGTCTTTTTAAGTCTTAAAACTAATTGTAAGATGTCTTATTAAAACATTGGTTTTTTTTTTTTTTTTTTTTTGGCAAGTTCAATTGTAACCTTTAATAATTTAAATTTGTAGAGAAAAATAATAATAATATAGTAGCTCGTTTAAAGAAAAACAAAAATGTTTGAATAAATGGTTAACAAGAGTCACGAGACTAATTATAAGCATAAGGAATTAAATTCTAATCATATTCAAAATCCTAGATTAAGGAATAATTTGCACTTCCTTACAAAATTATCTATTTATCGAAGATTTTGATTAGCTGGTCATCATTACTAGACTTGCGCGCAATCATGGAATTATCGACAGAAAATGTCGAAACATATGGTGGTTGTTGAAAGCAATATTATCTTTTTTACCTCCCTTGCTTCAACTACTTGGAGACATTGGCTCCCCATCTATCAAATTATACAAAAATATGATGATTGATTCGATAAAAATCAAACTATAAAAAAATTCATGCAATATTTAAACTAGAATTCTCGTAAAACAATTTTGTGTGCAAAAAACTCCTCTGATCATGCTCTTGCAAAAAAAGAAAAAGAAAAACTCAGAAAGTGTGGCCACTTAACCATAATACGAGGGGATATTATTAGAACTTGATCATGGGATTGCATAACAAAATAACCCATTCCTCAAACAATATCCCAAGTTCTAAGAAAGTTGGTTGGAAAAAAAAAACTTCAGTTTAAAAACCATGCAAAGGTTTTTCAGGCGACTTTGTAGAATGTGGAATTTTGTTTGAGAAACCGGTTATTTTGTTATGCGATCCAACGATCCCATTTAAAAAAAGTATATATGAATGAATGCACCAAATTTTTATTGTGGTTTTGATAAAATTTGGTGATTTCTTCTAAGTTAAAGGTGCAAGGATAAACAAACCTAATTTTTTTTTTTATCGTGCTTGTTATCTCCAATATTATTGTAGCTACACATATTATCCAAATTCATAGCAAGTAATATGCCTTATAATTTCCATAACCAGTATCCATATCCAAAGCAACTAGATTTAACAAAGAACCAAATTTAGCAGATGAATAATATCTGAAATCTAGACCATGCCGTGACCTCATCAATCTTATCCATAAACTAAAACGTTTCCAGCATATTATACCAAATCATGGATGTATTGACATTATTTTAGGAAACATATATTTCTATTTATTATTAGGACCTTTTCCTTTATTAGCTCATGTGCAAATATGGACCGGCTTGATTGTAGGACTAGTTGATCTTAATATTTAGGGACTTTTATTCTCTGTAATCAATATATGTTTTACAACTCAATAATAACAAATCTATAGTGAAGTTATTCACGTTTCATGGTATCAAAGCGAGGTTCATAACTTTTTTCTCTCTCTCTAGTAATGGCGATTAAATCTGCAAGTGGTAATAAGGATGGTTTGATATCAATTTCAAATTTGTCAAATATTGTAATTGATACTACGTCATCGTTCTATTTGCACCCCTCAGGCCATCCTGGTCTAATTTTTGTTACACAATCTCTGAATGAGAATGAAGATAACTACTTTACTTGGAGAAGTAATTTTCTTAACACTCTCTAATCTAAGAACAAAGTAGGGTTCGTGGATCGACAAATAAATCCACTGTCAATTTTGAAGATTTTTAATCTTGGATACAATGTAATGCTTTTATTGAAATCATGGCTAATCAATTCTATTTCTAAAGAATTACAAACAAGTGTTGCTAGGGGTGATCATTTGATTTTTCAGTTCGTTTTCGGTGTTTTTTTTTAGGTTTTCGGTTAATCGAATTGGCTAAAATAAAAACCAAAACGAACCGAATTGAGGTTCGATTTTTCGATTAAAAAACCAAAATTTTCGGTTTGGTTTTTTAGTTTTTGGTTAAAAAGTGATTTTTTAAAATATTTTTCTTCGAAAAATAGAATTATTTTGCTTTTAAAAAATATCAAACTTGCATAATCAAATATTGCGTATTTCACATTTGATTTTATAAGAAAATTGTATAAGATTATTATTATTATTCTATACTAAATTTGTTTATATTTATATTATAAACTAGATTGGTTGGGCTACTCGTTATTTTCTCAATCACGCTACAATAGATTTTTTGTTAATTTTTCATATTCTTTTTAATCTACTTATTTTGTGCAAATGTTATTGTTGAATATATAATTTAAAATTTAAAATTTTTAATTTATGTTTATTATAAGCATAAAAAGAGTGAAAAAATTATTATTGTTAGTTGTTATTAATACTATTATAGTCCTATTATAAATGCAGCGGCTTCGGGTCATTTTTTTAGGGGATATTTTTGTGTCAATTTTAATACAAGGAGACAATTTCTTTTTCATGAGGTTTTAGAATTCATTCACACATAAAATTATGTATTTATAAAGAATTACTTTATCACAGTCTTTTTTTTTATTTGTGAGTCAATATAATTTAATCAATTATTTTATTATTTCATTAAATAATTAATGAAAAATATTTCTATTTTAAGTATAAAAAAATCATTGAAGCTATTATTCTTTTAATTAAACCGATGGATGTCTCTTTCATTTTATTTTTAAAAAAGAGCTTGGGTATGTGTTTTAAAAAAAAAACTAATTCAATTTTCGATGAAAATTGAATTTGAAAAAAAATCGAATTAAAATAATTTTAGTTTTTGGTATCAGTTTTTTAAAAAAAATTTTAAAAATCGAATCAAAATTGTTAATTCTATTTGATTCAGTTTTTTAATTTTAACTGGATAGTACTGAACTTAATTGTTGCACATGCCACCAAAGTCAATAAAATATAGAGAGATCTCGAAGAAAGGTTTACTTAAGGGATTGCACCTAGAGTATAACAGCTAAAACGCACAATTGCATTATTACAACACGAGAAATTAGCAATATCTACATACTATGGAAAGTTGAAAAGCGTGTCGGGTGACTTGCAAAATCTGAGACCCATACCTGTATGCACCTGTGGAGCTGCCAGAAAAATAGAGGCTATGCGAGAAGAAGAAAAAGTATTCTATTTTCTCGTGGGACTAGATGACGACAATCAAACATTTCGATCCCAAATTCTCAACGTTGAACCTTTACTACTTGGGAAAGCC